CTGCAGCTTGATTTTAACAAGAATCAGTTGGTGGAGAAGCTGCGGAGGTTGAAGAAGAAGTACAGGAATGTAATGACCAAAATCAGCTCAGGAAAAGATGTTTCTTTCAAGAGTCCGCACGATCAGGCTACTTTCGAGATATCCCGGAAGATCTGGGGCAACGATCTTGGAAAACCAGGTGTTGGTGGGGTAGAGGACAATGTTTTGGATGATGATGAAGCCAATGTGAATAACGCAGCTCCTAGCGAAGATTTCGGAGACAAGAAGACCCCCAGGTCGAGGAAAAAATCGCGGTCTAGGCCTGGTGTCAAAATTGAAGAGAAACCCGTTATGAATGATGGGTTCTTTGTTCATAATAGTAGTAACAACGGTAACGTTGACAGTGTTGCTGCCGGCGGTAATATTGCAGGTTTGATAGAGGGGGCAGTGAGGAGCTGTTTGTCGCCCTTGTTTAAGGAGTTGTTGAGTAGCGCAATGGGAGGTGGCTACGGAATGAGAGGGTATGGTGGATTGCCCTTGAATGCAATGCCGTTGCATTTTGGTGGAGGGTTGAATTTGGGTGGCGGAGGCAGTGGCGGGGAATTGGTGGATGAGCGGTGGAGGAAGCAGCAGATACTAGAGTTGGAGGTATATTCCAAGCGGATAGAGTTGGTGCAGGACCAGATTAAGGCAGCCTTGGATGAGTTGCGGTCATTGGGAGGATGATTCTAGTGTAAGTGGTTCGGGGATTTTCTGTTCCATTTCATAAAGATTTCATGGCTATTTATGAATAGTTGATACTGTAGGAGTAACTGCTTTGAGTTTTTAACTTTGGATCTTTGTTTGTCTTTGGTAGAATGGTTGTTAAATAAGAGTTCTAATTATTTAGCCTTCAACAGTTTGCTGAAGTTACTCATATTTGTATATAAAGTTTCATACATTGGTTGAAATAACTTGCTTAGAACAAGGCACAGGTTGTAGATTGTGCGGAACTGGATTTAACAGTTTCATATTGTGACTTATGAAATTTTTATGGAAGTGCTGTATTTGGGAGGTAAGAATGAGATATCTACATAGCAGAAAGTGGTGGGCTGGTTATCCTGTACCTGCCAATTCCTAGTTTTGTTAACCTGGTAAATTACTTTGTTCTCATTATAGCAAACTATATTGGTATGGCCTGACCGAATTTCTAGGTATACTTGGTATATTATAGAGAATTTTAATTTTAACTCTGTGCTCGCCCTCCTTTCTCTTGATTTTCTTCCTCTCTGACTCTTTTTATGATGCCGTAGTCATGGTTTGAGATATGAAATGCTAGGTTATCAAATCCAAGATGCTAACATTGAATAGCCATGGACATTGTGTCACAATGATTGTGCTGGTTTTTCTTCTTGATAAGGATAAGCATACTTGCTTTCATTGTGTTTGGTCACAGAGATTCAAACAGTTATTGAGACTTTTCTATATCTTCTGCTTTTCAATAGAAAGGTCATCTGCCATCACTTTCGAATTTGAAAATCTCTTTTGACTTTTTGTAGAACATTCAGTGGGATTACTGTTATTTGTATGTTGGTTCACTGTTTAATAGTAGTTCATTAGACAGTTTTTGTGATTACATTGGCAGCTAACTGCTTTTTGTTGAGATGAATGTTCTGTTTCATAAAAAAACAGTTCTAAAACTTTAGATTCATGGGCTTTTCTGTATTTGTCATTATAGTTCAAATTGCAATTCAATGTAAGTAACAATTTTTTTAATTCAATTGAAAACTGCCATATCAATCTGATACTTTGTTTACAAAAGACAGAAGTCTGTTGAAGTTTTAGTCTCTAGTTTAATTGGAAGTTTAGGAAATTGATATGTGAGGTTTTTTATTTTTATATTGATATGTAGGTTTAAGGTGATTAAAAGCATGGGTGCTATATCCAAAGGATGGTTAATGCTTCCTAGTAGAGTTGGTAATAGTAAGTCACATGTATCCAACATATTGTGGTTGGAAGGCAAAGAATGAAGTACGAAGACATGGTCCAAATTGTTATTGTCATGTGGTATATATATTTATCAAAAATGTGTTTTGCAATCTAGATTGCAAAACACTAGCCATTGGATTGAGAGAGGCTCTCTAAAATTGGGAGAGGACTTTTCATTCAATGATTGGTGTTTTGCAGACCAATGCAATCTAATTGCAAAACATTGGGCTCTCTCTATCTATATGCACTTGATACTTCTATGGTTCTATATGCAGTTTTTTCTTTTATTCATGTGGATAAGGATATCTCTGTAAGATGGGGACGCATGAGTTTCAGTCTACTTCTTCTGGTTGATTTTGCAATTTACCTTTATCTTATGCTTTTGATTGAATGCCAACTTAGTCTGCAAATTGATTGGAGACGGTTGTTTTGGTTTTCCCTTTATGACTGATTTTCTGTGAGCATGTGGTGGGTAGTTATGAAGTAGATATTATTATGATTCTAATGTCAAATTACAACACATCTAGTAATGTATATTTAAGCAGTAAATCAAACAAGATCATCCAAAATCTGGAAAAATTTTAATGTTAAAAACCTCCAAAGAACAAAATTGGTGACATACATAGGTGGGCTAATGTTGGCGAGTTTTTTGTGCCAAGCCAATATATTGGTGGACTTGGTTTTATCAATTTGGCCCCAATAGAACCCAACCCAGCTAAACAAAACAGATCTAAAAAAGCCCATGAATGAAACCTTCTTTCGATCTTACCGATTTCCCCACCTTATCCAACTCCTTTTCAAAGAACAGCATATGCCTTTCCATGGATCCCTTGTCTGTGTCTCTCCTCCACTCGGTAACAGAAAACCTCCAGTCTTTTCTACAGAAGAAAGGGTGAGAAAATAAACAAAGAATCACAGAAGAAAAAGGCTAAAATCCAAATGGCTTCAGCAACAACAAGACCCACCTTCTCTTTCCTCCGCCCAACCCCATCTTCTCCAAAACCACTCAAACCCCAAATCTCCCTGCCTTCCAAACTGTCCCAACTCTCATTCCACATTGAAAGCACAGACAAACAGAAACCCCATTTTCTTATTCATTCCGTTGATGTCTCCAATGAAGATACACCATCACCCACTTCACTAAACCAAGAAGAAACCCAAACCCCACCTCAGGAAACCCCTGAAGAAAAGTTTGACAAGAGGAGATTAGAGGAGAAATTTGCAGTGTTGAACACAGGAATTTATGAGTGCAGGTCATGTGGGTTCAAGTATGATGAAGCTGTTGGGGATCCATCCTTTCCAATCCCACCTGGATTGCAATTTGAGAAGATGCCTGAGGATTGGAGGTGCCCTACTTGCGGCGCGGCAAAGAGTTTCTTTGAGAGTAAGAGAATGGAGATTGCAGGGTTTGCACAGAATCAGCAATATGGGCTGGGAGGGAATGCACTCACCTCAGGACAGAAGGCTGTGTTGATATATGGAAGCTTGTTTTTCTTCTTTTGCCTGTTCTTGTCTGGGTACTTTTTGCAATAGGTAAAGAACCTTTTGTTACTGAATGTGTACTCCTGTTTGTGTTTATATTAACAAATAGAGAGATTCAAGAACCCATTTGGCTTAATTGTTGATGTCCATCCTTTAAAATTAAGTATTTTTAGAAGTCAGTGAAAATTATATTAAAACCACAAATGATCCACTTTGAGAATCCAGAAGCCACAACTGTAGAGAACAAACTACTTATCCAGTTTCTAGAGGTTAGAAATTAGAAGACAGGATAAACTTCCAATAAAATGGATAGAAGCAGTGCTTGAGGCAAGAAGCCAAGGAATTTTGAGTTAGAGTCAGCCAGATATGAGTGTGTAGCAGAAGTTTATCATAGCCATATCATAGTTGTATAGCTTGAGTTTTTATCTTTGTGCTCAAGTAATACATAATTGTTTCTCAACATTTGGCTGTGATTTAGTTGAGTGCTGTTCTTCTAAGAGCTGAACGCTTTTCTTAATTGAATATTTTACTCAACTAATGGTCTGGGATCTCCTTGTGGTTCCGAAATGAATGAGATCATACTATAAAATTCCATGCTTGTTTGGATGAGAGTTAATGCAAACTAGATTTATGATTGCAAGTTGTTCAGGAAAATTCATTTGCATAGCAAAAACACAACGCAAGTGGCAGAATTTAACAAGAAGACAATAGCGTGTATGGTCTTGATCCCACATTCAGTGGGTAGGGACTGTTGTTCGTTGAAGTTCTGTGGTGACAGTAGTTTGGGAATATGATCTTCATATTAAAAAAGGTTACATCATTTAATGATTTTCATCAGGAGACAGAGAAATAATGATATTTATAAATGAGTGCTCTATTTTGCAGTCACACATGCAAAACAATAACCATTGGATGAATAAGACATCCACCAATCTCAGTCTTCAATGATTTAAATTGTGCAGTTTAGATTGCATAACACATTTTTATATATAAATTGTCCCTTGGATAAATTGGAATCGTGCCTGCTCTACTTCTGATCATTCCTTATGGAGCAAGTAGATCATAGAAGACCTTAGGTTTTTTGTACTCTGATAAACGCAGGGCCTGAAACCAAAATTATAATGTGTGAAGTGTGAGAATTGTAGGGTAATATTTTCAAATGGAAATTACAATCTTAAATGCTACATTGCTAACACAAGTGAATTGGAAAAGAATGTAAAAATAACAAGAATAAAAAGGGAAAGAATAGAGAAGCAAAAGAAATTTTAAGTATATCTCAATAGTTCCAAGTATTCTACCTGCATGGCAAATGCAATGTGAATCAAAGTTGGTTCAGACCATGGCTTGCCAATAAACTGGATACCAATAGGCAATCCAGCCTTGTCATATCCAACCTATCAAGGAGGATTTTAGGTTAGTAGGATCCAAACTGCTGGAAGATTTTGATAATTAAATAAATTCAACTGGGACACAAGAAAAGGCTAAATGGATGGATGATGAGATTGTACAGGAATTGTTACTGCAGGCAATCCCAGAAAATTTCCCGCTATCTGATATCGAACCAGTGCAGCTGGAATGACGATTAGACAAACTGGTCAATTTCAATCATTTGTGTTGAAAACTGATATAAAATCCTGGTTTCATACTCAAGGATAAGCTAAAGACACAAACAAGATTAGCAGTGTAGTGTTAGGCATTTCTTACCTCCATTTATGTAGTCAAGTTCACCAGTCTCCAGAGCATCATCAAAAATTGGGTATGCAGTTACACTGTAACATATAACAGTAACCATTATCAAATGATCTTGAGAATTATTTAGTTATGCGTACTGATTAAGGAGAATATCTTGTAACAGCTAAAGCATCAAACATAAAATATTACCCTGTAGTTGGTGCAACTATGATATCGGCCTTAGTAAAGATATTGTTATGAATTTGCATCTGACGACTCCTACAGACATGTAATCAAGATGAATTAATTGAAAATTAATTTTAAAGAAATCATAAAAAAAAAAAAAATAGAGATGTACATGTAACTACCATTTAGGAAGCATATTTTTTGATTGCTATCTATGAACCATGATGTTTAGGAAACAATTTTCTGATATTTTCTTCCTACTATTTGGAACATGATTTCTCCATTTTTAGTGAATGAAAACATTTGCTAGTTCATTAACATTCAAATATAAAAGGGAAATGGAAGAAAGGGTATAATCCAAACAAGTGCATAAGATGATTAACTGTAGCTCATTTTGTAATCTTTGCTCTATGACTGTACCTCATTTTCTGGGCCTTTATATGCTCTTTTCCGCTGAAAGAACCATAAACGCTAAGTGCTACTCTTGCATCCCATCCTAACTCTGCATAATCCCTATTTCAATGATCTAATAATGTCAGTATCATACAGCTTTTCAATTCTTAACCAAACAAATGTAAGAATGAAGATACCATACAGCTTTTCCAGATATGTAGCCAGTGAAGTGCTACACTCAGATCCAATTGTCATGTAATGAGCTAGCCGCATCGCCTCTATATCTGGTATGGTAACCTCTAGAGTCTTGAACATAAGAATTCCTTGGCAAGTTAGCCAACAATCAATATGAGGTTTAATTAATTTTTCTACTTTATCTAGCATCACATTTGGAAGAGTTCATTCTGTGATTATCTTGAAATCTGAAGGGGAAAGTTGCTGGGGTATTGAAGTCTCAATGCAGCATCAATGTACTAATAAAATCTGGCTAGCTAAAAGATAAGCAGAACTAAATCAATTCAGTTATATATACCTTCCATTGATAGTGCTCACAAAGTTGGTCCAGAGCATTGGAGCAACATGTTCTGATAATGTCACTGCAATCATTGAACCACTAATTGAGCCAATTAGTGGTTCAAAAGTATAATTAATGAGAAGATTAGAAAGGTAAGTAAATGAACCGGAAACTTTCATCAACATGAACTCAAAATAGCTAATCTTAATGGGATGGAATTGCCAACCTCTCCATACTTTGCAAATGTGATATTTGGTATCATATTCTTGGGCTTGAGCAGAGGAAAATAAACTTTAGGGTGTAAACTGGAGGGCTGATTTGATGGGAGTTGGCCATTAATTGCAGCATAACTGAAAACAAACAAAAGTACTTAGAGAAGTCAAAGAAACATGGTAACAAAGAGGAAGATGAGATTACTGACACAATAAATGCATCCTCAATTGTGGCCGCTAGTATTCCAACCATTCCCACAGTCCAGTTTAGAGGAAGAACACTGAAAAGCATCAGCAAATGTATCTTTAGACAAAGGATGAGTAACTTAAATCAAATGAAGGTGTTATATTTATTAGGATCATGGATTCTCACCCAGCATGAGGAATGCGCCCAAAAGTTGGTTTGAAGCCAACAACACCACAAAGAGCTGCAGGCATCCGCACGGATCCTAAACAAAAACCATAAATTAATGTTGCCTGAATTATTTATAGGAGTATTCTAACCTTGTACAGGTTAAGAACACCTTTTTATTATAAATGTATGAAAAAAATGTAAAGCTAACATTAACTTTAGTATCGTTGCTAAATAAATGAATTTAAGTAATTAAACAATTGATCAATTGAACTTTAACTTTTGTTTTTTCTAACATAAATTTGTGACAAAAATGTGTATTTATTATACTTTTATCATATAATTTAAGAGCACAGGTCAGAAAAACTCTTATTTATAATCCCTGCCTGAAATGTCTAAGAAGTAACTTGTCACAAATGAACAATGTTTTTCTGCATTTAGTGTTAAACAATAATGTTATGAGTTTTTTCCCTCTGGTAAATAACGAAAAACAATTTACCTCCCCCATCAACGCCGAGAGCGGCAGGGCACAGTCCTGCGGCTACCACTGCAGCAGATCCACTGGAAGAACCACCGGAGATTCTGTTGGGATCATATGGATTTCTAGTGGCCCTGCACCACTTAATGTCAATACTAAGTACTGAAATTGTATGTGAGGATGTTAGAAAGAGAAACAGCAAATTCTTACCCATAGTGTGGATTTATGCCGCTAGTTCCAGCCCCTAGCTCATGCATATTAGTTTTTCCAACAAGAATAGCACCACACATTCTTAGACGCTTTACACAGCAGGCATCAGCTGTACAGGGTCTAAACTTATGCAGCCACTTTGTACCTCCTGAATGGCAAATTTAATATATGAATGTCAAGCTAGGGAGCAAAGGGCATTTTGATTTTGATCACCTAGCTGCTGTAAGCTGTACCTGTAGTTGGATATGGAGAACAATCTATTTCATCCTTGATTGCAATTGGGACTCCATCTAAAGCTGATATTGGCTCTCCTATAATTAACAAATCAAGAAGTAGCATATATAATTAGGAATAACCCGAGTTATAGCAATTTTTTAATTATTAAGCGTCAGATTAAATTTTTTCTTATTTTTGTAGTAATTATTATATTATGAATTTTTTTCATTTATTTTGAATTATAAATTAAAAATAATTCTCTCTTATTTTTTAATATATTCTACTT